GTGCCGATTGCACCTGTCCACCACTAGCGCATGGTTTGGTTTGTGTAAGGGCCTGTTTGTTTGCACAGAAGTAATTATGAAGTAGCTGAAGTAAAAGAAGTAGATGCTACTTCTGCTACTTCCAAACAAAAAAGTGTGTTTGGTTCTCTGAAAAACTTACTTCCAATACTTCCTTAAATGCTTGTGTGGTGGTGCTTATGTGTCATCCTTACTTTCAAAATATTTTTTCAATCATTAATACTCAGAAGTAGCTCGTAAATAGTTAAAATGCATATTAATTAGGAAATAAATAAATTTTTATTAATATTTCCTTTATTAGTTACTTCTAGCAACTTTTCATTGATAAAATTGCTCTTAATTTTAACAATTATTTTGTAGTAATTTGTGATGATCGTCGGTCAGCTTTTCTTTGGGATGAAGAGAACAATTTGTCTATTAATTCTTTGTCTTACGATCAAAGGAGTGAGGGAGGAGGGAAATTGGAGATTTATAGGAATTTATGGCCATCCGGAGTCTCATCGTAGGCGAGAGGTAAACAATTATTTTGAAGCTATGTGATTGAATGATTCTTCTTGCTCTCAAGTGGCGAGGGGTCATAGCGGCATGACTGGTTGTAACGTGCTCGATCAAATTAAAGAGCGTGGCGTGACTTTGAAATTATGGAAGTAACATATGTTAATTACTTCCTAGTAATATTTCCAAATGTTATTCCCAAAAAAGATGAGGGAGAAGTTCTACTTCCATTACTTCTAAAAATATATGAAACAAACAAAGAAAAGGGTTATTTCCATTACTTTCTACTTCATAGTTTTGAAAGTTACTTCTATAACTTACTTCTTACTTCCAATACTTCCATTATCCAAACGGACCCTAAGAGTGATGGAACTCAGGGAAGGGAGGAGGAATTGACTCATTGAGAGAAGGGGTGGGGCAATTAGGTAATTACCCACTAGGGTTAGTCCTAACCTAACCACAACTCATCATTTTTAACCATGTTATTAACAGAAGGACCATTGTCAACCGCTAAAGTGTATTTGAAGGACTATCATCAAAATATGAAGATTTAAGGGACTAATATCAAATTCGTTATGATTTAAGGGACCAATATCGAAAAACCCTATGGTTTAAAGAGAGAAGGCGCTATGATAAAATTGATTTAGGAGATGATTGATATGAGAAAGGAATCAAGCAGACCATGTAAAAGTTTATTTCTGATTCCATTATGGCTCATATATGGTACATTCTTAAACTATAGGGGGATTGATCTACTTGTGCAATCCCTGTACTTGAGCTACATTTTTTAACGAATGGATTTTCTTAAAGAAGTGTTGATATCAGTTAACGAACATGGGGTTTATCTATGGATTATAGTGGTGTTAAGGTCCTCAAACTTTCTTTGATGACCGGTTCTGAAGCCTGACGTTCTCTCCTGCACATGAAAAGCTCGTGAGAGGTCGGAGTTGGGTTTTCTGGTTGTTCCTCCGATGGTCAAGTTAGTGTTTGAACTTGAGTGGGAAAATGAGAGGTTAGTGAGGAAAATGTTGCTCAAACTTGCAGGGAAATCGGATAGGTTACCTTAGACATCACAACTTTCTTTTATAGTAGATTGTAAGGGCAGATATGTAATTTTGGTCCAGTCCAGACATGCAGCTAAATCGGCAGATACCTTACATGTGTCGGTCGCTGAAGAAGATGATTCATCCAGGCGTTTAATGTGAGGGCGACATCAAGTGCTTAGTCCTAACTATATCCGATGAGTCATAAAGACTGTGGGGGCGATGACTTTGACAACGCATTTAAGACAAGGGTAGTCCGCTGTTAGCGGGGAGTTTGAGGACACACCGCCACTTTAGTCATCTGACTGAAGGCCGATAAACACCGCCTTTTTAGTCTGTTACGCAAGTTGTCAGCTGGAATGACAGGTCAAGTATAGGTGCATGTAGCTGTTGGCCTTCTTGTTTTGATGATATTTAACAAACAATTTACAACTAATGTTGTTTATCTAGTGTTTGTGTTTTCGTATTTATTCTAGGCAAACAACGTGTTGGAGGTTAGATGGATTGCGTCATAACGATCATATCAAATGGAGGTTGGCGGAATAGTAGGTGAAGCTTATGCAATTCAAGTTCAAGATCCAAGTTCAGCTTCATCCGCACAGTGTACCAAGTTGAGCTACAATGAAGATCAAGATCTAGCTTGGGTAACTAGTTTAGGATTTATATTATGTGTGTTAAGTACTCTAAGCTCAATTATCTATACACACACATTTATTGGTTTCTTCGTATATATATATATATAATCATATACATATTTTATTAAGTCTACATAATCATTGTGCAAAGTTTCAAAACATGGTTTAGTCTAAATGTCAAAATTCATATGTTTATATTTTCATATTTTGGTCTATTTTGTAAAATGATGATATTTTTCATTTGGGAAGTCCTTTTTGGAAACCAGTTATTGTAGTATGTTTATTATCATGTCTACAATCATTCCCTAAAGTTTTACATTTTTTGGAATTTATTTGATATTTTTAAACAGTGTTTTAAATTCAGAAAAACAGTTTTCAGCACTTCTTTTTCATATATCAGTTTACGGTCGACCGCCACGGTCGACCGCGCCTGAGATCTTTCGTCAGTGGGCAGTAGAGAGTTTCCCGGTCGACCGCCGCGGTCGACCGTGAGTTCAGAATTTCCCACGGTCGACCGCCGCGGTCGACCGCCAGCTTTCAAACCCTCTGTTCAGCCTTTTTTGTGCCTCGCGGTCGACCGCGAGAATTCCTCGGTCGACCGCCGATTTGACCGTTGGTTTCCAACGGTTATTTTTCTGAGCTGTTTGCTTTGGGCTTTTTTGTCTTTTGTTTGGGGTTATTGGTTGAGGTCTTGGGAGGCTATAAATACCCCCATTGACCTCAGTTCTTATACTCACTTAAGAATGTTTTAAACAAGTTTTAAACAAGGGTTTAAGTGTGTTTTAGTGTTTGTTTGGTTTATGAAGAAGTTTTCACAAGTGGAGGAGATCATCTTCTTGTTTGGGCTTCAATCTCCATCTCTCCATCTTGTCATCTATTGGAGAAGTTTTCTAAACTCTATCTAGCTTTATATTTGCTTAGTTATTTGATTACCATTCTTTGAAGCTAGTTTTTATATTGAGTTTAGATTTGATTATATTATCTCATTGTTACACACACTCACTTGAGCTTATTGTATTTGCATACATAGTATATTAGGGTTGTGAGAGATTGTAACATTGAGTTGTGCTTAATTGTGTTCTCATCTATTGTAGAGAACAAATTTATATTTGTTACATTGTGAGTGGTGTAAGGTTTTCGGTGAGCTAGAAAACCGAGTGTGTTATGGAGTTTTCGGTGAACTATAAAACCGAGTGTGAGGAGTGAACGTTGATAGGTGAGCGTTAAAAACCGACGTTGTGAGGTGTAAACGTTATTCGGGTGAGCGTAGAAAACCCGTTTGTGATAGTGGATTTCTCCCCGGGAGAGGGGAGCGGAGACGTAGGACGGAAGGTCCGAACTCCGTGATCATATTGTTTGTTTGAGTTTGTCTTTGGCGTATTTGCTTTTGCATTTATCTTATATCGCCATTTGTGCATTGCTCATTTATTTCATCCACTATCTTGTTTAGTTTATTGTTCCCCCTTGTGTTAGTTTATATATATCATTGCATATATATTTCATCATATAGGATATATCTCGTTGTTCTTATTGCTTATCCTAGCTTATATATCTTGTTATATTTTATACTTGCTAGGATAACTTGTTAATTAATTTTAATTGACATTTAATCGGATTAGATTAGCATAAGACCCTAATCACCCCCTCTCTAGGGTCTAACAGTAGCGTTGATCAGGTGGGTAGGCCGACAAATACCACCTTTTTAGTTAGCTACGCAGGTTGTTGGCCTATTGGATCGACCGTAGGAGCAACTCGAGTCGTCTGTCTTTGGATATGTCTGATTAGGCGTGGAGCGGGACATGTGTCGGCCTCCTGAGAAGGATTAGTACTTAGTTATTTATAGGCTATAACAAAAACTATATGCTTCAACTATATTTTTTATTTAAAAAAAAGGGAAAAAGAAAAGTATTAGCAAAGAGTTATAAATGGAAATTACAGTTTAGATGATATAATGGCCGGGTTTCTATTCCTAAATTTATCACGCGGTTGCTGGGTGGCATAACTACATTTTTTTTCACTTTGTACTTTTATGTATTTGTAAATATTTATTATTCAATAATCTCTAGAAATTTGCATACGTTATATCTTTCAACAGATAAATTACTCAAGCAAGGTGGGATTTACTTGCACCAAAAAAACTTTTTATTTCATAACTCAAGCGACCTTAATAGATCAAGGACTTCCTCCGCCGTTTGTTATAATCGACGCAATATCGGAAAAGGAAAAGTAAATAATCTTTTTAGTTGGCCCACCATGACTTATAAGAATCCCTTTTAGCTCAGTCACATATCATCGTATACGATATCTAATATTCTCATTTTAAACATAAAAGCGTTGGAAAACTTTAATAAATAATTACAATAAAGGAGTTATATATAAAAGAATTATTAGCAATATGGATCAGGATTTTTTTTAATTATGTAGTAATTAGAGAACGTCCAATTACTCAAATCCTATCCCTCTATTTTAATTTCAAGAGCTGTGATGAAGCCACGTAAGACTCTAAATATTATCTTTAAAACTACTATAATCTCTAAAATCATTATCGTAAAAACCGTTATTGTGATTGTGCAAATCCTCAGTAGCTTCATTTTAGCCATTATAATTTGAATAGAAAAATAAAATTAAGATAATCCAACTCTTTCCAATTAACTTCATAATTGAGGAGGATCCGAATCTGATAGATATTTTCTCATTGGACCAAAAAGATTCCACCAATCAGTTGGTATTTGGTAGGTGCATTTAGTTAACCCTAATTACTAACAACAAACAAATTCAATAGAAAAAGATGGGACGACTTGGCTGTGTTAAAGTTTGACCATCTCTTTCTTCACTACATGAGCCTCTTCCTTATTAAAATAACAGTAAAATAATAACAATATTTATCATCTATTATTAAACCTATTTATTTTTTCCTCCTCTTGGACTCGGTTGTCGCGTGCTGAACACAAACGGATCCTTCCCCTTTCTCGCCTCTACGAATCAATTGCTGCAGCTATTTTTTTTTCTTCTGATTTCGGTGAGTTGGGTATCTCAATTTCTTCATTCTATCTTGTTTTTCAGCGATTTTAGCTGATGGATTTTGTTCAATCTGCTGTTTTCTGATTTTGATGAATTGGGTATCTTAAATTTTCCATTTTTTGCAGGGAGGTTGTTGATGGGTTGGAGCCCAAGCTGCTGTTTTGTTCAGATTCTCTCTCATACTGTTTGTTATAATTCTCCATAGAGTTTTTAGGCTATTGGTTTTTAGTATAATGGGGGGAATTTGCTCGAGGAGAGCAACCGTAGATAAATCCCCTAGCGACGCTACTCTTGATGGTGATGGAATCAAAGAGCATGATCCAATGGAGCCGCCATCGGAGGAAACAATGGACAAGGAGTTTGAAAATCATGGGCCGTTTTCGTTTTCGGACCCGGGTGTTCCGAAGGCAAAGGGACCGCAGTTGTCGAGAGTTCATTCGGAGAGGTCGGCAAAATCTAAGCAAACAACCAAGGCAAGTTTCAGCACTTTTGGAAGTTTGATCAATGACATGAAATGTAATGATTTGTCTTTGAAGATCAGCTCGAGCTAGCCAAGATCGTTGCGTGTATTGCTTCTTGTTCTCTAGATTTGACTGATGATCTGTTTTGTATGTAAGAGGAAAGCACAAGATACATAAGTTTTCATGTAGAGGGTCTTCTTAGTTTAAATGTTAGTGTTCTAGAAGTAGAATCACCACCATGATTGTTATCTAGGCATTTCTGTTGCTATGGAGTTGACTACAGAACACAGTTTTAGATTTGAGAAGTTCCAACTTTGCTCCTGAAGTTTTAGATTTAATTTCAGAAAACCACCATGAAAGTTGGGAAGTTTTTGCACGAAACTATTTTTCATAAAAACTACCATGAACTTAGAAAAATGCAGTAAATTATCGTAAAATATTGGAAAATGTTGCTTCCAGCATTAATGCCTGGGGATAAAAGGTTTGGACTGGTTTTAATTAAATCTATCAACCCTCAAAGTTCGTAAGCTTAATATTGAGATATATAAAGTACATACAAATTATTGAAAACATATCACGTGCGAAGCACATGACAACTTATTCTACCTGCTCCTAGACATGGTAGTTCAGACTTCAGTGAAGAACCTTTGGTAGTTTTCTCTAATAAAAACTTACATGATAGTTTATGCAAAATATACTGAAGTTCATGATAGTTTCATGAAATTTACCATCATTTCTACGTGTTCATAAGCGATATGTTCTTTATTGGTTCTGTATTCTGATATTTTTTCAGATTTGCTGCAAATTCATGGCATGTTTCATTTGCAGCTCTCAACCAGAAGACCCAGCATGCTTGATTTATTATTTTATTATGTTTGATACCTTAAAGGTAATTTTGATCCGTAGCTGTAGCATGATATATGGCCAATTGATCAGGAAAATTGGTAGTAGAACTAGGGGAAGTCCATACAGAGGTTAGGAATTCTGTTAAAGAGTCTATTGAGAGGAGGAAAAATGCTGTGAACTCGAGTGAATGTTATAGTGCATATAGCTACAACAGCTGATAAAGGTACATATAAACTTTGCAAGAGGACCCAATTAGTTTTTCTCCGGATTCTGTTTGTTTCAGTTGTGTTCTTCCGTAATAGCTTATATATGCAACTGCTTTATTGTTTCCAGTTGAAAGTCAAGAGCGAAAAATGCTGATACATGTATATCTAAGATGTGGAATTACTTTTGCTTCTACTTTATGGTATAGCTTAGTACTTATGCCTGTGAACGCTAAATACACTAAGGCCTCATTTGGTACGTGGCAATGAGTGAGAATGGAATGTCAATTCTCACTTCTTATTCATTTCTACCAAACACAACCTCTTTTTTAAAGTTGGAATGTACATTCCCACTTCTCATCAATTCCCACTTTATGTGGGAATGAGCATTCCCAATATAATGATAGAGAATGACATTCCCACTTAAAGTGGGAATCAATAAAATATAAAATTTCAAAATAGGTCCACTCCCACTTTATTTTATAAATTGCACCCAAACGTGAGAATGGAAATGAGTATTCCATTCTCACGTTAATTCCATTCCATTCCTAGTCCTTTCCGTCATTTCACTTGATTCTCACATACCAAACGAAGCGTAAGTAGCATTCAATTGTTTTGCAGGTTTCGGAAATGAGCTCACTTTTGGGTCGCGCCGGTACTGTTGGGTTCGGGAAAGCAGTGGATGTTTTGGACACACTTGGTAGTAGCATGACTGGCTTGAACCTCAGCAGTGGTTTCGCATCAGGGACAGCTATCAAAGGAAACAAAATATCTATTCTGGCCTTTGAGGTTGCTAACACTATAGTTAAAGGTGCCAATCTCATGCATTCACTTTCAAAAGAAAGTATAAAACATTTGAAAGCAGTGGTTATTCCCTCAGAAGGTGTGCAGCTGTTAATATCTAAAGATGTGGATGAGTTATTGCATATAGCTGCATATGACAAGAGGTGCTCGAAGAACAAACATTTTTTTGGAGGTAAAATTTCACGAGACCCCAAGAACTTTGGTCCATTTTTGGATAACCCCCAAAATGTTTGGAAATGTCACTTGACCCCCAAAACTTTTGCATTTTATGGGAATCTATTTTCAGGTAACCCCCAACCTGTTGGGGGTTATCTGAAAAGTTTTGGGGGGTAATTGACATTTCCAAACTTTTAGGTGTTGTCTCAAAATGGCCCAGTCTTCTTGGGGGCTTTGTGAAATTCACCCTTTTTTTGTGGATCTATCTTCTCATTTCTTGGAAGAACTTACTGATTTCTGATGTAATTTTGACAGGGAAGAATTGAAAATATTTTCAGGAGAGGTGGTCCGATTTGGTAACCGTTGCAAGGATCCTCAGTGGCACAACCTGGACCGCTACTTTGCCAGGTAAAGAATCAGTTACATAACTTGTGTTTTATGCATCACTTGGCATGCAATTTTATTTTCACTTATTCGCTTCTTAGACTAGAGTCAGAAGTTACACCTCAGAAGCATCTTAAAGAAGAAGCAACGGAAGTGATGAAGCAAATGATGACATTGGTCCAGAATACAGCTGTAAGTATCTACTTGTTCCCATGATCTAAAGCATGAGTCCCTTCTGAATTATAGCATTATATATTTGAAGAAATACTATAATTCTGCATTATCATTTAGATGGTTAACTATATAAGTTACTGAACTTCACCCAATTTGATATTGTTTCTTCATCTGTTTAAATTACAAGCATTCCTTACATTTTCAGTACACATGCCTTATTAGGTACTTGCACATGATAAATAAATGACCAAATATTTCTGTTGTACCTTGTTCAAGGAAAAATTGTATTCAAGTATTTTTTTTCACAGTCTATTCATTTTTATTTTTCAGAGAATTGTCACAATCATATTCTTTCTTACTGCATATTACTATCTGATGTCCGAGATTGTAAACATGATGCTTCTCGACATAATGGGCATTTTTTTCTTTTTGTGCTTTCAAATCATTAGTTAATCAACACATTTATTTATATATTTTCTCTGCCTAACTCTTTCTTGTTTTTTTTAC